ACAGCACAGCAGCAGGGAATAATGCAGGACTTAAAGCCTGAACATCTCCCACAAAGACACAACCCAAGCTGAAACAGATTAACTTTACTCCCAGAGGCATGTGAGACCTGGGAGATTTTGGTCTCAGTTCCCTGTGCCACCACCACACAGGTTATTCAAATTCCTGCTATTTTTGCTTTTTTCCTCCACCCTTTACCTGGTGTATTTTCTAGATGGACAACTCAAACACCTTTTCTCACCACACCGAACAGATGCTCCAGTCAGCCCTGGCACTTGCCTAAGCCACGTCTGCACCGACACCAACCTGCAGCCGAGAGGCCCAACCGAACCCACCCATGGACTTACTCCCAATTCAAACCCCCTAACTCAATGTAACACAGCTCGTGCTCCCCCCGCAAGCCCCCACACTTTGCTGGTGCAATGCCATCGGGCTGGCAGGTCACCATCGCAGAGGACAGTCACAACCAGCAATGACCCCTGCCTTGCTTTTCCCCACTGACTGAGCCAGAGACGCACCATTGTTCAACTCCAAAAAAGCCTTTTCTGTTCCTAAGGAAACAGCCAGCGTCATTCAAACGAGGCCACACACCATGCAAACGCCTTCCCCCAAAAAAGACAGATTCACCCCCAGAGAGCAAACCGGGGAGACAGAAGCGATAGCTTTGCACAGGGCTCATTTGCAGCACAGGATGAGCAACCCAGTCTAACAGCTACATACCACAGCTACGTCTCTTTGCTGTGTCAAAAGGGTGTTTTCTGGAGTCAGCTAGAAAACATCTGGTTTTGCTTCATGGCAATGATCTCCCCTCTTGAAAATGATGGGATGCTTACTCTGGGCAACTCTCCTGCAGGGCAGGAGGGGGCAGAGGAAGCAACTTCAGAGCCTGCAGAGAAGTGTAAAAAGGAAAGGCTTTCACCTTATTATTATTATTATTGCAGCTTTTCCCCCTGTCATTTAACAGGACAGCAAACCAGACATGCATTACCATCCCTCCACTTTGCACAAAAGCACCCAGAAGAAACACAGGAGAGATTTAAAAAAAAAAAAAAAAAAAAAAAAAGAAAAAAAGACTCAGCCACCTTCCACCTTCAACTTTTAATATATACAGGTTTGAGGCTACGAAGTTGCTCTCACATCCATCACCCGCACATGCAGACAGCATGCGTGAGCCGAGCAGTCGCTGACAAAGAGGAGATGGGATGCAACGTGCACCGCCTTCCTGCTGATGGGTCTGAAGCAACATCTCATTCAGGTGGAGCAGGAGCACCTCTTCACCTAGGAGCATGCAGGAACACTTAGCCCTAGGACCTGCAATTCATTTTTCCCTATCAGTAATGAGAGCGTTACGCTCCCCAGAAGCCCGTTGATGTGCCAGCTGGGATTGACTATCTCTCGGCACGAAAAATATTACACAAATTCAAACAAAATCAGCAGGTTCAAAATAGAAATCGTGTGTGTGTGTGTGTGTGTGTGTGTCCACCAAAAATTGGGATTTAAAGACAGTAGACACTGCTTGTGGGACACCAGTGATTTCTTAAAATAATAAAAAAATTAATAATAACAAAAAGAATCCATGCAACCCACCCACCCAACAGAGGGAAATAATGTGAGCCCAAGGACAGGATGAAAGAAAGTTTTACAGTCAGCTCTTTGACCCATCGAAAACCACCCTGGAAACATTGTCAACGTGCACAGGGGAACGTGGCTGCCTGCTGGACCTGCAAACCACCCAGAGCAGCAAAGGGATTTCATGTGCTCCTCCATTTTCCTGTTGCTGTGAGCCATCAGTATACACCCCTCTCCATACTCACAGGCTTTTCTTTACAAGCCCAAGGGAGCAAAAGTACACTAAAATCACTTGACTCCAAGAGCCGCTGGGAGACATTAAGGATCCCAGGCTGCAATGTGGACCATGGGAGGGGATCGATGCCACAGGTATCCTCAGAAATGGCTCAGCGTGGCTCTGTGTATGTTTTTGGCGTTACTGAACTCAGACATCACTTGAGTGTTCAGTGAAAACTAGACGGGACCATCTGACCTGCTGGGAGCAAGTCTCTCCACCTTGTTTAGAAAGCAAAGTCTCTGTGCTGAAAGGAAAGGGGTTTTGTCAGGACATGCATGTGCCCACTGGAGGATCTGCTGGATCTGCTCCCATGAGCCAAAGTTACAGGTCCTGCAAGTGCTTTCTCCTTTTTTATTTTTAAAAAACAAACATTATTTATGGCCACAAAGTGAGCTCAGGCTGCAATTTGCACTTTTGAATTTAATAAACCCCGTAGCTTTGTAATTAAGAAGCAAGGCTGCCCTTGCATCCCCATACCAACCCTTCAGGTCCTTTAGGGAGAGAAATCGGACCCATCCTCTTCACAAGGAGCAACCCCTCCCACTGCTCCCCAGCACACCCCGGGGCTTCACTGCCCCTCTGGGCTCTGCTTCCAAGTCACATCCACGGCGGGCGGCAGATTTTTCCCCTGTGCCAGCTGCAAGAGGTCTGCGTGCTCCCTGCCCCAGCCAAGGCTGGCACGGTGCTTTTGACGTCCTCTAACAATGACAGCCCTGTGCCCAAACGCTGGCCCCTTGGCAGGGTTAATGCAGGGATTGTTTATGCCCTGCTTGCAATAAGTGAACAAAAGTGAAGCATCCTCCACTCGCACGGGCACCGCGAGTGCACTCTAATGCTGGAGTTTAGGTCCCACATGAAAACAACAGGGGACTCATTTTCTGCTTTTTAAGCTGAAATCTAATTCTGCAAATTTTAGGGAGCGCTCTGGATGGGTCTATCAGCTGGCACTGACAACAGAGATGCCTCCCGTACAACAGCAGGGCATCTTCCAGAGGGCAGGGCACCCCAGGCAGCACCCCGATGTGCAGCCCCACATTGCTCTTGATAAACATCTTGCTGCAGCCATCATCTCCCACCCCAGGCTGTTCCTGCAAGCCTACATAAAATTCCCTGAAATGAACCCACCAGCCTGGCACCGGGCCTGGGGCGTTACTGCAACGCAAGGAGCAAGCTCTCCATTTGGCATCCACGGTGACACACTCACGATGCTACTGAAGCCACCTATAAACCTGACATTTGCCTCTATCCCATCACCTCCAGGAGTTCCCATCCAAGCAACTTTTAAGAGCAGACCAGACCGAAAAGCCCTGCAAGGCCAAAGCACCTAAGAACATTTCACTGCAGTGTATATATTCCACTTAATAAACACAAATACATTTTCCAGCCCCTCTTTCAAACCTGGCTTGTCGCTCGCCACTAGGGGAAGTCAACATCTGGCTATAAATCTCCTCCAAGAGTTGCCATCCACAGCTAACGTTCAAGACACCCAGCCCTCCACCACCATGGACACCCCTCCATGATGCCTGAACACCCAAGCGAGGGCCACCCTCAGTTGAGCAGTGCTAGCCCTGCCAACCCAAAGCACACCCTTTGCAGGGACAGCAAACCTCCAAGCTGCTGGAAACCCATCCCACCTCCTCAGCATCTCCTGGGGAACCTCTGGGGCAGTCTGCAAAGCTCAGGTGTTTTCAGAATGAATTTTGGAAAGGAAAGAAAAGGCAGGTGCCAAACCTAAGGTCGAGAGACTCAGAGGTGAGGTTATTTGCATTCATTTCTGTTTCAGCTGCTGTCAGAAATCCACCCACCAGACCAGAAGGCAATGCAACTTTCAGACCTCTTGAAAATAAGAAGTATAAGGAGGATGCAAATTCCCCTTCATGTCCTGACCTCTACAGCTGCTAGCTCCCTTTGTGCAGACAGGCTTCTGTGATGAAAAGCTTCTTGCTGTATTTAAATGTTTTTCTCATTTAAAAAAATGCAGTGTCTAAACCACCTCCTTAACATAGATACAAGCTCTTCTGAACAACCCCACCAGGCTAAAATAAATATTTTGCTTCGCAAATAGTTTTCCTCTCATTAAAATGAAAACATAATTAGGATGTCAAGCACAGAGGCAAGCAACGGCTGCAATCACTCCACACAGCACCGAGCTGCTCAGGCTTTATTTGATTAAAAGTAACGATGCTGCTATTTTTGAAAAGCACACTCTCATCCACAGCCCGACCGGAGTTATTTTGTAAATATATATATGTAAATGGAAAACTGGCATCTTTGCCAGAAAAAAATCCCCACCCGGGAGGACGTGCACTCAACGGAGACTACAGGTCCATGACATGGGCCACCAGCGAGCATCGTGGGCAACCGCATCCCCTCGCCGCTCACGGCCAGGGGGTTAAAGCTCACTGAAGGAGCAAGCAACTAACCACTGGAAAGGGTGAGAGAAAAGAGAGAAAAGGACAGAAAAGGTGCTCCCAGAGATGATATACAAGGGCACCCATGCAAGGTCTGGTATCGACACTGCTGCACATGACCAAAAACCTGGACAAGACACAAATTTTTAGAGCTATAAGACATCCCAGGCAGACACTATTCCCAGTATCAGCGTTTTTTCTTGGTTTTAAGCAAATCTAAGCATCCTGTTGCTGCAGCTGGGCACTAGGAAACAAAGGATGAGTCCTTCTTCCAGAGTGGAAGGGGACGTTTCACTATCTAGACACAGATGTCAACACAACACGCATCCCTCTCCAACTTCTACTCAAGCTGCCGCTCTGCTCGTTAACAGCCATAACTTAATTACTGCAAATCGGTCGGCTGGAGGGGAGGTGATGGGCATTACACGTGCTTCCTCAGCATTCCCCCTGCCAGAACAGGAACGCTGCCCTAGGCAATTACATGCTCTTGCATCCCACACCCTTTTACCCCTCTGGGTCTGTAACAGGCTTCGATGCAACGCAGCCAACTCCAGGCAGAGGCACACAACCACGTCACGGTGACCACCATCCCCTTTCATCCCAAAGTTGCTCAGTCTAAGTACCGCTGAGCTGCCCTTGGGGCTGAGGTGTTTACTCCTGAGCAAAAAACCCACACGGGGACTCCAGTACCTTCAGCCCTAGGCTGTAAGACATCAACACCAATTCGCGTCTCACCGTTACACACCTTCTGCACGAGTCCACCTCTCCTGCCCAACGCTGTCCTGCAAAAAACCCCGCTGCAGCACCGGCCATAATCCCAGCCTTCAACAGCATCCCCTGCTCGCAAAACAAACACCCCCGGGCAGCCAGCACCGAGCAGAAAGGTCAGTGACCCCATGACATCGGTGAGTCCCGGCTGATCAAACCCTCCTAGAAAATAAACGCCAGGCACAGCCACCGCAACGCTGTTAAAAAACAGCCCCAAACTCCCAGGGAACGGCCCACTCGTGGCCGATGAGATAAGAAAGGAAAGAAAAGCTAGCCCAGCCTCCTCCGGCCTCAGCTGGACATCACCGCAAGTTTACGGGCCAACCACATCAGGAAACACTTGCGCCTCGTCCCCGGAGAGCGCCCGCCGCACACGAAGCCCCCGGGTGTGCCAAAGGGGCAGGGGGGGGGGGG